AGGGTTCCATCCCCCACTTAGCCACTGGAGCAAGGTCCCTCAGCGGAGCCGACTTCTAAAAATTCCAATTTTGTGCTCCGCTGCTCTATCACTTGCCAGAAGCACCTGATGGAGGCCTCCTCCCCCGCTGTCTATCCTCCCGAATATTGCCTCGGATTCACTTCTCCATGCGTCCTACCTTCCAGAAAGTGGTTGCTTTTCTGTTCAGAGAGTTGCTGTTATTCTTTTCTTCGATCTCTTGTTGAGTTCGTAGGTGTTCAGAATGGTTTGATCCCTATGTAGCTGAATTCCTGGGAGGAGTGGAAATTTAGGTCTTCTACTCCCCTGCCATCTTGCTCCTACCCCAATGTAAACTTTTGGAAGTTACTTCAGTAATACTCCTTCCTTGCCAGTTGCTCTTATTCTGATAGTTTCAGTAACTTCCATGGGTTGGAGGCAGGGGTGGGGGCACTTTAATTCAGAAGGTAGAGCTTTCTTTTTAGAGTTGAGACACTAGAGTGCTCCTCTGACCCACCACCAGTCAGTATAAGCTTCTTGGCATCCAGGGCATTAAAATACGGACAAGGAGCTTAGTCATCTAGACACTGAAGTAAAAAATGACAACCCTTATTCATGTAACAATGCTGTTAACTTTCCTTTCCCTATGTAGATTCTCCTCTCTTTTTTGACTCCTGGCGGCAACCGACTTCGCAACCAAATCTGTGAAGTTTTGGACACAGACCTCATTAGGCAACAGGCTGAGCACAGTGCTGTTGACATCCAAGGCCTGGCCAACTATGTCATCACTACAATGGGAAAGCTGTGTGCTCCCGTGCGAGATGACGATATCAGAGAGCTCAAGGCTACCAGCAACATCGTGGAGGTGCTGAGGTTAGCACTTTTGCTGCTTGCATTTTCTGAGAGTACCTTTGAGTTCATTCAAAAGGGAAGTGTGGGGCGGCAGGTACCTATATGGTGCAGTTGGTTAAGTGTTTGACTCTTGTTTTTGGCTCAGGTCATGACCTCAGGGTCATGAGATCAAGCCCTGAATTGGTCCCCACCCTCGGTGCAGTGACTGCTTGAGATTCTCTCTCCCTCTGCCCCTCCTGCTCGTGCTCTCTCTCACTCAAATAAATAAATATTAAAAAAACAAAACAAAAGAAAAGGGAATGTGGGAATTGAGCGACACAGAATAATAACTGGTCTCCCAAAGGAATCCTTGATCTTAGAAGAAAACCAGATAAGCAAAGCTAAGTATTTTTGTGCCTCCCCGCCCTGTCCTTTTTTTTTTTCTTTTCTCTCTACCGCCCCCAATTCCAGTAGGAATAGAAACCATGTACACTTCGTTCAGACTCCTTAAAATTTCAGGGCTTTCCAATGAAAATTCCTTCTTGAATCTTCTTTGTCTTATTAAGACTCATTGTTTATGCTTCTTAGTGTCTATCAGTTTATGGCCAGGTGTAATGGATCAGCTGGAAGTATTGTGTTTGCTAAAGCAAATACTCTTGAGATCTGTGAAGATTACATTTGGAATGCAAGTGTAATGCCTTCTATGAAAAGTGACCTTGCCAATGGCAATGGGAATTTCAAAACTATTTGGGGATGTTTATCTTTTCCAGTCTGTAAAATAGATCACAGTTAATGAATTTCAGCTTAATTTCTTAATCACCTCTCTAATTATTTTAACTCTAAAATTTTTAGACAAATATTTCATGTCCTGGACCTCATGAAAATGGACATGGTCAATTTTACAATTAGGAGTCTCAGACCACATCTTCAACGCCAGTTGGTGGATTATGAGAGAACCAAGTTCCAAGAAATTTTAGAAGAAACTCCAAGTAAGTATAATATAATGTGCATATATTGAAATTGGGTGGAAATATGATGTGTTTATATTTTTGATGTCTTGAGTATCACTAAAGAATTTTGGCTTTTGTTAAACATTTTTTTTAACTTCTAAAATCGACATCACAAATTTATAGCTGTCTGCCCATGTCCCAAGAACTGTGCCAAGCATAGTCATTTCTTCATGCATTAAAAAATATATATTTATTGAGCACCTGCTGTATCCGAGACACTGCTTAGTTGCTGTGAGTACTGTAGTGAACAAAACAATGTTGTGATCCCCGAGGAGCTGACATTCTAGTAGGCATGGCAAACAAACACATAACGTATATTGTCAGATGTGTTAAGTGCTATGAAGAAAGGTGGGAAAAAAGGGCAGAGAGCAATGGGGCAGGAGTTGGAGAGGTGGTGTTTTTTAAGATAAGGTAGACTGGGAAGACCTCTCTAAGAAGTAACATTTGAGCAGAGTTTGCAAAGGAAAGAGGAAGGGGCATGTGAAAATGTGAGAGAAGAACATTCCAGCCAGAGGGAGCTGCAAGTGCAAAGGTGTGAAGCTTGCACGTGAAGTTGGACAGACAAGAGCAGACAGTGTGGCTGGAGTAAAGTAGGCAGAGAGAGAGTGGGAGGAGACGAGGCCGAGAGGTAGACAAAGGCAGGTCCTACAGAGCCTTGCTAGGAAATGAGAGTTGAGAGTTGATTCCAAGTGTGATGGGAAGTCATTGGAGAGTTTTGAGCAGGAGGGCAACATGTGATTTTCATTTTTAAAGACTACTCTGGCTTCTGGGTAGAGAATAGATCATACCGGAGCAATGAGGGAAGGGAAACAGGGCCACCAAGTAGGTGGTATTGCAGTTGCTCCAGCGAGAACTAATGGTCCAGGTGGCAGTGGCAGAAGAATTACAAACAAGTCGGATTCTGGATGTATTTTGAAAGTTGAACAAAATGATTTGCTGAAAGTTGGATGAAGGAGAAAAGGGAGGAGTTGAAGATGATGCTAAGGTTTTCACCTGAGCAGCAGGGTGAATTGTGATGGCTATTTGTGAGGTGGGACAACTAGGGGAAGGCAGGGAGGGAGGTGGTATGGAATCAGGGTTCAGTTTTAGATATATGAACTTTGAGATCTTGTTTGGCATCAACAGGGACACGTCAGGTAGGCATGTGGATATAAGAGACGAGAGTTCAGGGGAATGGTGGATACTGGGGGTATACATTCAGGACTCACCAGTATATTTATGATAGATAAAGCCACGAAACTGAGTAATAGCTAGCATGTGTTTACCACATGCTAAGCACTTTACCTGTATTAACTAATTTGATCTTTGCAACAACTTTAGGAAATTACTCACCATTTTACGGATGAGGAAACTGAGGGATAGAAAGGTTAGATCTCTTGCATCCATGACACAACTTGTAAGCTATGGAACTGGGACTCACCCAGGTGGTCTGGCTACACTGTTCATGCTCTTAGCCACAATATTACACTAGATGAAATTACGTGGGGAGTGAGTGTCGACACTGAAGAGGCCTGATTTGGGACTCTAGAGCATCTAGAGCTCAAACAGAGAAGGATCCAGCAAAGGTGACCGTGAAAGAGTAGCCGGAAAGGTGAAGGAAGCCAGGAGCTGGTGATGTTCTGTAAGACAAGTGAACAAAGTGTTTGGAGAATGAAGACATAATCAGTCTGCTAAGTGGTCAAGAAAAATGGAGGCCAAGCCTTGACCACTGGATATGACTGCATGAGGATCCTTGGTAACCCTGATGAAGCAGGTTCGTGAACTAGTGGGCATTAAAACTGGACTGGAAGAGGGGTCAAGAAAGCCTGGGAGTAGAGAACGTGGTACCTCAATGAAACCTCACAGTTACTTAGTTAAGTAGGTACTGCCATACCCTTTATTTCACAGGCGAGGGAATTGAGATGCCAGATGTTGCACAGCTGGCAAAAGACTGGCTTATCAGATTCCCTCATGGGCAAACTCTTAACACTAGCTTCTGGGCTTTAATTCACTACACTATAAGGCTGTTAGATGATCCACCCACTTCACCCCCACCCCTCGTGGACTGAGCTTTTCTGTCAAGCTTGTCAATATGGTAGCCTTATGTAAACAAAGCCAAACAGGTGCCACTTTTAAAGGGGCTCCAAGAGTCTGGAGCATGTCCAGGGAAGAGGGCCTGGGTCGTGGAGGGTCATAGCAGGAACAGTCCATGAAGCTGTGCACATTCTGTTTGGTAACAAGGAGATGCATGTGGACCAGGAGCACTGCCTTCCTGTTGTTATTGATTCAGGGACTTTGAGTTAAGCTCCGTAGGGCAGACTAGGATCCATGGAGGGAAATCACAGGCAGCCAGTTTTGACGTTTTTAGCAGCTGGAGCTATTTTAAGCTTGGAATGGGCCTCTCTATTACTAGTAGTAATAGATAATAGATAGTAATAGTAATAGATAGCTGGCACTATTACTAGTAGTAATAGCCAGCTATCATTTTGTTGAACACTTATTATATACCAAGTCCTTACTATGTGCCAGATGTTTTACCTTTATTAGCCCTTTCAGGCCTCACAAAGCCCTATGAATCTGGCACTGTTATCACTCACTATTTATAAATGAAGAAATGGGGGTGCCTGGGTGGCTCAGTCATTAAGCGTCTGCCTTCGGCTCAGGTCATGATCCCAGGGTCCTGGGATTGAGCCCCACGTCGTCGGGCTCCAGGGAGCCTGCTTCTCCCGCTCCCTCTGCCACTCCTCCTGCTTGTGCTCTCTCTCTCAAGTAAATAAATAAAAAAATCTTTAAAAACATATACATGAAGAAATTGGGGTTAAGGTACTTACCCTAGGTGACTGCTAAAGCCTGAGTAAACCAGACATGTCTCTGCCCCAAAGCATGTATGTTGAACCGCTACACAATACTACCTGTCTTCAAATGAGTTACTGACTTTCTTTGGGGCATCGGCAGAGGGAGCGCTAGCCCTAAGTGGCAGATAAGATTAAATGACTTCTAAGGATCCTTCCACAACCAAAATTCTGTGACTTCAGGGCTGTATTGTTTTAGCTCCAAAGGGAGAGAGGGATTAATGGAAATAGAACCCTACATAGAACCTGAATCTGAAACCTGAACTACAGTAATATGTTTGTAGCAGTGTTTTCCTTTCCAGTGTTTTATTGGTTGGTTTCATTTGTACGCCTGTGTACATGTGTATACATGTGTGTGCAAATGTCTCCATTTCTTGAGTCAAGATAGCTTGTCATCTGGAGCAAATTCCTTAATATTGGTTTGAGTTACAATTTTTTTCATTTTAAATGATTTGTTTCTGTGCTTAAAACTCAGGCTTAGTGATCTGCAGTTCATTTGTACTTTTCACATTGACTTGGATATTTTAAGAGATTTAAGAATAGAATAAATCCAGTTGTGCATATAGGTCATTATTGCCCAGCTCTAAATGTGTTCCCAGAGAAATCAGGAGTCCAGGAAGCAGAGTGTATGTCAGCTGTTAATTATATCCTCAAGTCGCTCTGCCAAAAGTTGGTCACTGTGCCCTAATATCAAAATAAGAGCCTCATAGTAACATGCAGAAGGACAAAAGGGTTGGATTTTTGTGTGTACATGATTTTTTATAAAATAATTATTGGAAAATTAATACAGAGAAGCACTCCAGATTTCTGAATTGACTCCAGAAAATACTTTATTTTGCCAACAGAGAGATTTTATATAATTGCCTGATTTAAAGTACAGCCAAGAAAGGCTTAAGCAGTGATTGGATGCATGTACTAATCATCAACAAGATAACCACATCAGGTCCAACAACTAAATTACCTGTGGAAAGAGTAACTGATTACCCCTCAGGGACCAGAGCAAAAGGAATTTATAAGATGCTCAGAAAGAGAAGGTTTTTACTTACTTAGGTAATATCTTATATATGACAAAACGTTCTCATCGAACGTCATTTCATGTGATTCTTTCAAAAATCCTGGGGGACATAAACACTTTTCAAAAACACATCAAACTGCATTTTGATTTTCTTTGCCTGGCACACAAGGCATTTAAGAACTACTAATGGAACATTCTGAAGATGAGCAAACTGACGCTCAACAATGGCCTGCCCAAACACCAGAGAGTCACATAGCTAATAAGTAGTAGAGCTAGGACTGGAAGCCAGGTCTCCTACATCCAAGCCAAGACTAAACCAAGCTGCTGCTTTGGCTACTTTCTTTGGATTTTTCACTTTTGTGTTATATCAGCTGGGTTATACTGCAAGCCACAGAAACCAACTCTGGCTGATTTAGCAAAAAAGGAAGAGAATGGAAGGATGGGGGCAGTTCACAAAAAAAGCCAAAATACCTGAGCCTGAACAAGGCCAGAAACCAGGAGAGCATCAGGAATCTGGGCAGGAAAAATAAGGGAAAGTTCCTAGCTCCGTCATCAGAACAGTTAATGTGTACTTTAAAATGGTCCATCCTTGAATGCTGTAGTCACCATTCAGATCCCAAGAAAGTTGGATGGGCATATGATTCAGCTAGGCCAGCCCATGGTAAGGGGTGTTGCCTGGTCAGGGGCCTCCTAATTGATATTAATAAAGAAACCATGGAAGGAAGGAAAATGATTTCTCAAAGAAAGCAGTACCAAGGGGTGCCTGACTGGCTCAGTCAGTAGAGCATGTGACTCTTGATTTCAGTGGCATGAGTTCAAACCCCAAGCTGGGTGTAGAGCCTACTTTAAAAAAAGAAAGAAATCAGTATCAAAAGAAGGAAGGGAGGTGAGGTATTGCTAGGCATAATAGAGCAGGTGTCATGGATAAAGGGAACTATATTCTTCTAACTGGAAATTGAAGTACTTAGTCTGAATATTTTCCAGAATATTGAAAAATGGGAGCCATCTAAAGCTTTGCACAATGTCAGGGTCTTCCATTCACATAATTCTGCAGCATTCTCTTGGTTTATGTGAATACTCTCTGCTTAGAATTATACAGGCCATCCCCCAGATCCAGGATGTGGAGTTGTTGC